AACTAAACCCAGATCCATTGCAAGAACAGCAAGTGCTCTTGACCACTCACTGAGTCATCTCTCCAGCCCCCAGATGTTCAGTACATGAGGCCACACTAAAAGCTCTAAAGCTGGGGCTGGAGAGATGGCTCAGAGGTTAAGAGCATTGCCTGGTCTTCCAAAGGTCCTGAGTTCATTTCCCGGCAACCACATGGAACTACATGGTGGCTCACAACCATCTGTAATGGGGTCTGGTGCCCTCTTCTGGCCTGCAGGCATACATGCATGCCAAATACTGTATACATAAAATAATAATAATAATAATAATAATAATAATAATAATAATAATAATAAATCTCTAAAGTCCTTCAGTAAAAATCTCTAAAGTCCTTCGGTGCAGAGCTGTGCTTTATGCGATGAGCTCAGCCCTTCAATGAAGATTAAACAGCACCGGTTCAAGACAGGCTTGGTCTGGGTCCTGGTCTCCCACTCATTCCCCATGTGACCTGGGAGAAGCCACTTAGTCTCTTGTGTCCCAGCATCCTCTTCTATGAAATGGAGAATGACAATGTGAAGCATTGAGAATGTCGCCCGAGGACTCCCAGCCAGTCATATGGCGCTACCTTCTAACTTTTTGCTGCTTCCTGCACTAAAAAGGCCACTTGCTTTGTCTTGCCTTCCAATGAAAGAAGACGGAATTTACATTTGACCTGGGCGCTATAGCAACAAGAAAGGCCATCTGTCAAACTTTGTCCCTCAGGAACTGGGAGAAGCAACTAAAGAGCCATCACAAATCCCTAAATCTTGGTCTTTTAAGGGGCACGGTGACTGATCCTTTGATAGCCAGCGTCCCGCTCCACCGCTATAAACGTCTCGTTCTTTCCAGGGTTGCAAAGGGACGTTTTACAGCCATCTCTTCATTGACCACGTGGCACGTTGACATGCCACAGCTGAGCCAACTGAACCACTGCCGCAGCTCTGAGCACTGTCCCCTCCATTTGCAGGTGCCATGATTAACGGTGAGCTCTGTGATGGTCAGGTGGCCACCTCACACCAACCACCCAGGATTTAGATTAAAGAGAAGACTCCTATGTGTTGGGCAGTTTTTCATCTCTGGAGACCTAGAGTCAGGTTTCACAGAAACCACAAGGGGAAACAGCCCCTGAGGTCTCAGTCCAACCCACAACTGGCCCAATGGGAACAAAGATCTACCTCAAAGAACATCAATCAAAGGAAGGGGACTATCGTGCGGGCATGGATGTGACGCGGGGAAGCTAGGGGGCTACAGAGGACACTGTCAACGGGTGAGAAATGGTCCCTGTGGTTTCAGACCTCCTCCAGCACAGACTCAGAGAGAGCTGAAGCGAGGGACACGGACACCAGCTGGTCACAAGCCTGCTCTCCCAGCCTAGGCAGACACATTGATGTTCTGTCTCCCAGGATTTGGCCGTTTTAGGCACTACACATAAAAGCAATCACACAATTGACGGTTCTTAAGAACCTGTGTTCTTTCGTGCCCATCACTTGCAGATTCTATAGAAGCTGTTCATGTGTTCTTACTAGTGAAAGGCGCAGATGGGTGCAGGTCTCCTAATGGTCCACAAGGTAAGAAGGTTTCCATGGAGATTCTTCCACACAGCATAATGTTTAGGTACATCCCCGCCGTGATATAGAGCAGTGCTGTGTTCCTCTTCATGGCTGACTAAGATTCTAAAATATAGACGTACCGCATTTCTTTTACTAGCTTGTTGCTGAATAGCTGTTTCCACATTTTGGTGTTTATAAAAAATTCAGCTATGAAAACTCGTGTACATGTTCCTAACTCTAAGCAGATAACCAGAAGTGGGAAGCTGGGTCGTATGTCGCTTTGTGTTTAGCTTTATGAAGAACTGATAGTTTCCAGTTTCCTCTCCAACGAAAGTTCCAGCTTCTCTACCGACCACCATCACAGGCTACAGCCTTTCTCAGACATCCATCCTGGGGGACATTAAGCGAGCAACTGTCCTGACTTAAGACATCTTTCTGTGTGTTTGTTGGGCATCTTACCTGGGAAAATATCTGTTCAAATATTTTTTTTAATTTTTCCTTTTTGTTTACTGTACACATGTGAGCAAGTGCACGCCCACTCCTGCCACGGTTCTCACGGGGAGGTCAGAGGATTCCCTTCAGAGCCAATTCCAGTTTCCACCACGTGGGTCCCTGGGATCCAGCTCCGACCAACAGGCTTGGCTGCAGACACATTTACTCACCGGGCCATCTCACTCACATTTTAAATTTTCTTGTGCATTTTAAAATTAGGCCAGTAGGGTTTTGTTTGTCTGTTTTTCTAGACTGGGACTTACTGTGGAGCTCAGGCTGGCCCAGAATTCATGATCATTCTTGTTTATACCATCTGTCTAGTAATTTGATTTTTTTTTAAATTTTATTGCATTTTTATTTATGTGGACGTATGTATACCAAGCATGTGCAGGGGTTCATGGAGGTCAGAAGTGGGCACTGCATTCTGTAGAGCTGGAGTTACAGGCAGGTGTAAGCCACCTGATGTGGGCCCTGGGATCTGAACTGGGGTTCTCTGGAAGAGCAGGAAGTGCTCTGAACTGCTAAGCTGAACTGCAGTACGGTACTCTGAACTGCAGTACGGTAACTTGACTTTTTTATTGATGAGTTAAGAAAGCTCTTTATATATTTTGAATACTAGTTCTCCCTCAGGCACATAATTAATTTACAAACACCTTCTGCAGGTCTGTGAACCATCTATTCACTTTGAATCCCAAATTTTAGCTTTTCTTCTCATGTTGGTTGTGTTTTGCCTTGAGGAGCAAAGACAGGACATTCCGAATCACTATCAAGATGAGCTTTTTGAGGCAGCTGCGACTCAGCAGGTAAAAATGCTTACTGCCAATGCTGAGGGCTGAGTTCCATCTGAGGGAGGAACATGGCGGCAGAGACCTGACTCAGCAAGCTGTCGTCTGACTTCTTCACACATGCTGCAGCACACAAACACACGTGCTCACACGCGCATGTGTGCATGTACACACACACACACACACACACACACGGGGAGGGGTGCTAAAGACACACACACATACACACATACACACGGGGAGGGGTGCTAAAGACTGTGATCTGCTTTCACTTAAGGTCAAAAACTCTCCAATCCGGGCTGGAGAGATGGCTCAGAGGTTAAGAGCATTGCCTGCTCTTCCAAAAGTCCTGAGTTCAATTCCCAGGAACCACATGGTGGCTCACAACCATCTGAAATGGGGTCTGGTGCCCTCTTCTGGCCTGCAGGCATACACACAGACAGAATATTGTATACATAATAAATAAATAAATATTAAAAAAAAACTCTCCAATCCATGACCTGTTGTCTGCACTTTCTTTATCAGATCACAAAGTGGTTTTGACAGATGTACGGTTTTAAATCTGCACCTTGGATACCTTTAAACATACTGAAGAGCCCACCCTGCCAACCATTTCTGCCCCGTTCCACAGGGGCGGTCCCTGGATAGCATGGGATACTGCCTTAGTGATGATCAGTAGATGGCCCAGAGCACCACCAGCTCTGGTCACAGCCTCTCCTGCAACTTCACAACAAACTGTTTCCTTGTGGAAAATCTCACCTGCTCCCAGGAGGAAGCATAGAATGTTCTCCCTTAGGAAGTAGACACTGCAGGAGAATAGAACATGAGGGAGGAGAGAGTCCTGGTCTTTGTCTTTACCCTGGACCCTTCTCCATGGAGCTATCCACCTCCTGTCTCCTTCCCTTCCAGCCTTCCCTGGGCCAGTGCAGGTTTTAGCTTTCTTCCCAAAGAGAAACAATCAGGTGCTAGAGCTATCGGGTCTCTTGCACCTTGGCCCAGCTGTGCCTCAATTACATAAAACCAAGAGTCTTTGACATATGTACACACTAGCTTGTGGGACTCTCTAGGAGTTGGCATTTTCTTGCCTGCAGACAACTTAACCCAAAGCAGCTCAGATCAAAGAAGTCAGGGAGATCCTGGCTCAGGTTCCCAAATACTGGGACTAGCAAAGGTGAATGGGGCCAGGACTGGCTTTTAAAAAGGGACAAACTGAAAGTTTTAAACCCATGCCGGGTTGGGGGGGGGGAGGTTTACACATCTCTTCGGCCTTCCTTCACACCGAAGAGCACAGACACTTGAAACAGGATGGTTCATACATTCACATCCCTCATTCCTGGAGGAAGAACCCTGGTTTTTCTTCCTGAGCTCCATATTAAGAAAGCACAAGAATCTTCCTCCATACTGCTTAGAAAGATTGATTGTTTCTCCATTTACAAAATAGAATCAGGACAATTTAAATTTTTAAATTTTGCATGCAAAACGCTGCAATTGCTTTTTTATGTAGGAGG